CCTAAGACACCTCTGCATTTGGCAGCGATAAATGGTAACATTCCAGTTGTTAAAAAGCTGGTTGAATTCAACGCCGATATTGACTTGAAAGTGGATGGAAAAGATGCAGCTGACTTGGCTCAAATGAACGAGGAAACAGAAATTGAGGAGTATCTTAAATCTAGAAGAAGCCTTTCCCAAAGAGACTCGGAAAGTCATTCGGCAGAAAGTCAATTGGTGGAAAGTCATTCAGCGGAAAATCAATCGGAAGAAAGTCAATGGGTAGAAGGAAAATTGATTTTAAGAGGCGCCATTAAAGGTGCAAAACAAGGCTTAAAGTTCCTCGAACAGGGCTTAAAGTTCTTCGAAGAAAAATACGGTTAATTTATGCCGTTCATCATTATTTTGGACTTTTCAGAACACGATTTTTGTTTTACAAATGATCAGAGCAACTTTGATTTTTCTTGTTTGCAAGGGTAAACTGTGGTCATGTGATCATCGTGAAGATTTCAATTTATAATCGCATGGCACTATTATTTCCATCACTGTGTTACCTAAGTCATTTAATGAGTGAACGTAAATTGACTTTAGACTGAGATAATGTATTGACTTTTTTTTAAAGAAACTTTGATTGGGACAGTGGAAATGACCGGCCGTGTGAAAATCGTGTGGTTATACGCTTTTACTTCGTACATAGTGAAAGGTTTTTACCCCAGTTATTTCACTTGCATATATGATCGATACAACAATCGATTCAAAAAGTATTTTTATAATGTAATGTATCCAGCAGGGATTGTAGCACAATAGTTTTTCTTAGTACAGTTTTCAATCAATTGTAAGTAGCTTTTTTTTGAAAAAATAGCCTTAGAAGCTAAAAAAAAAAAAAAACAACAAAATAAAGCCAAGCATGGAATCTAGTTGTTCACGATATGAGCCTAAGGCAACATACCAAAATATAGGCATGTATTTCCCTATCACAATCCTTCTGTTTGTACACGGATGCAAATATTATAGCCAAAGAAAATCAGGTATAGAAAGCGGCTGAATGAAAATTAAGTGGTTTTACATTTATCTTTTGTACATATGTTGCATTTTTTTTACCTGATTTTTCAAAGTCCTTATATGTATTGCCACATCGACTGATTATATGATATGGGTATTTTAAAATTAGCAAATGGGGGTTCTAACAAAATTTAAAGCTGTTCTTCGCACAGCTTTAAATTTCTTGAAGTAGCCTCTACACAGTCTTAAACGCCAAAAAGAATGATACTGATGATACCAAAAATAATACAAAGAGAAAAAAACCATACTAGGCAAGGTTGGCAACATACAAATACGCCGATATGCGCCACCCTCCGAAAAATCCACAGTATCTGTATACAACACTTGAAAGTATTTGTTCACAGTACTTGTCAGTTCTGGTAAAACGAAAGAGGCTGATTGTTTTTTTTTTCTTTACACATAGATTAATTTTTGAGTATAACTTTTCAATGCTAAAATTTGTACGCTTATTAAAGTTTTCAGTCAGTATACCTTTTGCAGTGTTTGTAGCTGAGAAAACCTTTTAGAATGCGGACCTAAAGTCTTCGCAGTAGCCAATTTGAACAAAGAGAAACATCCAAGGGAACCAATCAGAACCCAAAGTAGATACGTGTTAAAGCCCTAAAGGGCGGGAAAAGGCGAGTAACCGGCCAATTCGCTATTGGTTACGGTTTTGGTTCTGGTTGGACGGGATGTTGGCGAAAGTTTATTCATAGAAATTGGTGTAGTAAAACCGATGTCATTCTACTTAACCTTCGACACTAATTTAAACCAACATGAGGTCATTTAAGACAATTTAACCGTCAACCGTCAGATCGGAAAAAAACTAATCGTCAATCGTCAAAGCAACCCCCCTTCCTCCTCCCCCCATTACGTTTCACTTGTAAGCGTACCTCTTGGCTGAATGACAACTATGCTTCTCTGTGGTAGCACGCCCACCAGGCCAGACATTAATGTACGTCACTACTTAATTAGTTACCGTCTGACAACGAAGAATAAAAGTAGTAAGATTTCACACATACGAAATGATTTTTTTTTATATTTTTGTGAATTTAGTATTTTTACTGGTCTGTATTTGCATTTTTAGTGACATGCATAAAATCCTCTACCCCCACTCCCGCACCCCTCTCCTCTCCTCCACCCACACCCCTGGGCAATAAATGATGATGATGATGACTGGTTCTTTACTCGTATGAATCTTTATGTTCCCGTGTCTAAATCTAAGACATCATATGTTATTCGTATGTCACTCGAGGTACTCGCGTGATTTTGAAAGCGGAAAACTGTTTTTTTTATAGATCAGAACGAACATGACACCGTCGTTAGCGCTGCATGTATCGGATAAATTCGAGTATCACGTCATTGCCTGATAGGGACCTTTTTATTTTTCTTATTCAGTCTCTTTTTCTTGGTATTTTTAGAGCACTTTTTAGGTTTGTGTTTGTTTATTCATTCCTACCTACACACAGAGTTATTCAAAGTCAATTCTTTTTAGAG